TGCAAACTTTTCTTTGATGTCTGTATTGCCTTATACAGTTTGGTACCTAAAACCCACAGAAAAAATTGGCTGTTTAATCACTATGGTGTATTTTGAGGTTGTCTTTTGTGAACTAACTTCTTGCACCATGTAGTGTTAATTTAGACATTTAATCCCTGACATTTTCTACAGTTCCTGGCTACTTTTTAGATCCAGGAAATGACTTTCCTATGATTAGTCTCTGACTCTTTTCTCTCGTTACTATTTTCATATTGCTCCTCCACCATTATGTTGTAGGAGCCCTATATCTGCCCTTCTGAGATAAAGTGCCTATGCACCATGATGCCTCACAGATGTTGACTTACCAAGACACCTGGATTGGAGAAGAGTCTACCTTGCTTTTTCTGTCTGACTTGGGCATCATTCTTAGAGATTCTGGTTGGCACTATTAATTCATTTGCATTAGAAAAATATTTGTTTTGGACACTACTAGAAAAGTAGGGCTCCTCATTTACTCTATTTTTACTAGTATATGTAATGGTTTTGTCAGTTTTCACCGATGCATATAATGTGCTGTAGTCATATACATATTCATATTACCTCCCTCACTCTCTGTTGCCCCCACTTCCTGTGTCCTCCTTGCCTGCTATCTCTCCCAAATAGACCTACTTCTACTTCCATCTCATAGTCTCTTGAGCAAACCCTTTTCTACTTGAGGCATGAGGAGCTTTGGGAGAGATGCATTTGAAAAAAATGAACAGGCAAACATCCCCTTCCCAGCCAATGAAATAACTGACCAACAGTATGACATTAAGTTAAAGGCAGTCACCCTCACAAGCAGATGCTGTTTCGTTGAGTTTACTATACTCAGAACACTGTAGATAACTCACATACGCATTAACACATTGCTTGGCAGATACACACAAAGTAAACTGTATCAATATCCTTGAAGAAGTTCATCTCCTATCTGGAAAGCTAAAATATGAGACTCTGGAAAAGGCAGTAAATCTAGATGGGAGAGAGATCATGTGGCCCAGAGTACATGGGTAGAACCTCCCCAAATCATGAGCCAAGCCCTACAAGGATATTTATTACTAACTGCCTCCACCATTTCCTGATTCTTATCATCAATACATCCTGCTAGTTCGGCTTGCCTCCTTAGTTTAGGAAATTGTTTAAAGAGAGTCCAGTAATACAAATCCTCATACTTCGTGCATTTCTATTTAAAACACTTTTTTCAGAGCACCACCCTTAATTACAAAGATACTACTACTAAAAAAAAAAAAAAAACTCAACTTTTCCTTAGGTAGCTAGTAGCTGTCTTGCTCTCCTGGCAGCTTCTCTTCTCCCTCATTTAGATAATAAATACCTGGGACCATGTGTTTCTTATCCTTTCTTTGTAAAGGGCTTCTATGGATAAGCCTGACCTGATTCTTACATTGTGATCTATATGAAGAGGTCCCATATTTGCTGAAGGTGATGGATTAGCTTTTCAAATTCCTAGGCCCAAGCAGCACTGTTGTCTTGGGCATTCTCATCAGCTGCTTTCTCTGATCTCTATTTTTATTCCAACCAAATATGTCCCTTCTTATTTCCTTGAACTATATGGGTTCAGTTCTGCTATGGCAGCCCATATGCCTAAGCCAGGAGATATGCATGTTGGCAGGTAGGATCTAGCAGACTATAAAGAAAGCCTTAATTGAGAGCATCCAAGTTAATTTTAAAACTCATCAATATAATATAGCCTTACTTTTAAATGTACTGTTTTTAGCCACTCTGTTTTAACTCATTTAATACAATAAAGCTTAGTTCAAATTCACTTGAACTCATTTTTTTTCAATTCACTAAAATGTTTCTATTCAACTATTGTTTTTAAACAACTAATGAATCTTTTCTGTCTGGTTCTCTTGTGCAAGTGAGGCGTTTTACATATGCAGACCTTAATGTATAATTGCTATGTCTCTTCTTTATCTCTCTTTGTGATCTACCTTAGCAGACACTGGTTGCTTTGTGATTTAAAAATAAATAGCATGTATGTATACGTGGAAAGAATAGATAGCAACCAAATTATTTCTTAGTGAAATTCTGTACACTGTAAGCTGTGTTTTGTAGACTGTCGCCTTGAAATCTCATCCAAAGAGAACTGGAAGTCTTTTCAGCACTAATGCTGCAGAGATTCACTTATTTAACAGAAAGTCTATATTTCTTTCCATAATACCACAAAAAAATGAATAAATATTTCTTGTCTTCCTAGTGTCAGGTATAATTCTAAGTGCCAAGAATCTAGCAATGGACAGACAGACAAGAATTCTGCTTCTAGCCTGCACATAACTCTAGCAGAAGCTGATAGACTGAGATAAATCCAGATACTCAACCAGCAGAAATTTCTTCTCTCTCTACTTCAAGGCCATGTCTACAATGTTATCACCTGGAGTTATGAGTCTGCTTTAGTCTCAAAGTGTTCCTCTCATCTAGGGAGGAGTATGAGTACGTTGTTCTAATCAGAGAGAAAATAGGAAAAGGTTCTGAGAAGATCAGCTATCTCGTTGGTATACTGGCATTGTTTTGAGTCATGAAAGTAATTATTCACTGAGCAAACATGTATTAAATATTATGTTAGGGTTTTCTCATGTTCTAGGCTTTTTAAATCCTCTATGCTTTCCCTCAAGTTGAGCAGAGACATAAAATAATTACTGATATTTACTAGTCATAACATTACTACTAACAACATTATAATAAAAACTTATTTTAACTATGCAGTGAGTCAAAAGTAGTCAAACCTCTTGTTTTCCTGGGGAAGACTCTCCAGGAGGGGATATAGAACCTGAGTCTTCTAAGTGACAGAAGTGTAGCATGCTTCTTTCATTCACTAAGTTTCTTGTGTCTGCCAGGTACTGTTACAGACACTGTAGACACAGCAGCAGATACATGCAGTGGATAGATAGACAAACAAATATGTCTTAGGTAGTAATATGTACTAGGTCCAAAATAAAATTGGTGAAAAAAGAAAACAGCATGGCAAGGGCTGCAGTTTGCAGAGTGATCAGTGATGCCATTTCTAATGAGAATTAGAATGGTATTGAGTAAATGAGACCTGGATGGTATTCTCTTGAATGATATTGAGTGAAGAGACCAAGAACCAAGGAAATCATTTTGGGCAGAAGGAAAAACAAGGACAAGGGCACACAGGGTATGAACACATGGCATCATTAGGGTAAATCAAGAGGTTGTTTTCTGGACTAGGAGGTAAGATTGAGGAGAGGGCATCACCATAGGTAAGGCTGGTGAAGAAGGAGCCAAGTGCTAAAAAGCTGTGTGAACCATGGTCAGGAATGTGATTTCTCACATTATTAACTGAGAGAAGAAGGGCTAGATTTTGAAAATATTTTAAGAAGAAAGTGAGGTCATTAGATTTTTGTTTCATTGGATTCAATTTGATGGGTTTAGTGTGGTTTTTGGAAGATTATCTATAACAGCAGTATAAAAGATAAGTCTAAAGGAAAACACAAGAAGTATAATCATTTGTCATTGTTATGATTATACCTATGAGAAAGTGAGATAAAGCTTGGGTAGGTACACAAAGTTCGGATGCTTTGGAAGATTCAGTATATAAGATTGGTGTTCCATGGAGTATGAGTGATGCAGGAACATTTTTGAAGGGTAAACTTGGGTATCTGAATGGGTAATAATGTCATTACCTAGTAGTCTCTGGAGGGGCACAAGGCTAATTTAATTTGGGGGCCAAAGAAATACAGAACTGGAAGTCAGAAAACAAATCAGGGCAGGTTTGCCTGATAGCCTCATTTCATATAGATTTTGAAAGAAGGAGCAAGAATAGTCACCATTGTCAGATACTGCCAAGAACTTCAGCAGGATGTGGATTTTTAAAATGCCATTAGATTTTATAGTTGGAAGGTCACCAGTGACCTGGAAAAAGACCAATTTTAGTAGATATGGTATAGGCAGAGCTACATAATGGTTGGGTTAAAGAATTAAAGGGAAGGGGCTGAGATCTTCCTGCCAAAATCACTTCCTTCACATCTTTGGGAACTTTAGACCTTAGGGTAGGCCTTCCTCCCCTTTCTTCCTTAGTTTTCTCCAGGTGGGCTTAGAACTGAATGCCTGAGCTAGAGGCATGGTGGCGGGACAAATTAAGGTCTTTGCATCTCTGGTGAAAAAGGGACCGTGGAGAGAAGGGTCTGATGTTGATCAGTCAGATATTGCAAGAAACATCTTCAGTGGACAGCTGCAGGTCAGGTCAGTCCAGACACCTGTCTCCAGAGGCAGAGAAAGATGACACAATTATCTCTGTTGGATGAGGAAACCTGGAACGGGAAGCTCAGATAGAAAGTGAATCTGCAGGACTGGTGGGAGAAAGTCCAATGTTATAAAGAAACTCAGCCAGTGAAGGAGTGGAATGTGGCAGAGTTTGTGTGAGTATAGAATCTGAGGCAGTAAACTAACATTAGCTAGAAATTCAAGGAAGAGAGCCTAGATTTCTTAAGGTACAGGGGACTGAGGATGTGCACAGGATGGACTGTTGGCACAAAGGTAGAAGAAGGAATTCACAGTTAAGGAATTCATAGATAATCTCAGCAATGTCAGAAATATAGATAATTAATATTTGTGAAACCTAGATGGAAGTTCAGAGGCTGTGAGAAAGACACGTTAGTTTCTGAAGAACTGAAAGTCACTGCTTGGGTTCCATTCAAGGATTGGATGGAAACAGTGACCAAGGGACCAGACTCCTTGAAGTGCAGAGCTCTAGTTTTGAACTTTAGCTGGGATGTGAAAGCAACCATCAGGACAAGAGGCCCTTGCTTTCAACCTTGAGAACTCAAGAAGTTAACAAAGAATAGGTCTTCAAAGCCCTGCCATCAAACATGCCTAGTTTCTCTGGCCTACAGCACTGTCTCCGCCCACTTGTGGGCGGGGCGCGAGGGCAAGGCTGGTTGGCTGGTTCAGAAGCCTCGAGAGCCATCAGTTCCTACCAGACACTTGCTGGGGGTCCCGTCCACCCCATGGCAGGGCACAGATCTTCAAACGTCTACCCTCTCCCAGGCAGTAGTGGTGGTGGCCCAGAAGGACCAATGCCGGTGCGAGTTGACACTCATTTGTGGTTGAGTGGCCAGGCAGCCCCGGGCAGGTTAATGGTGTGGCCAGGTATCGGGCCAGGCATCTGCCCAGGCCCTGAGGTGTGGGGAGTTTCTCAAGGTCCCTCACCTTATGAATTTCGGAGTGGAGTAGCACCCTACGGAGCTGGTGAGACAAGGGCCTGGTCCCAGAGTTCCTCTGAGGACACTTGCCCAGGACCCTACATTGCCCTGCGGTACATGCCAAATTTGACACTGCCAGAGGACGTTTCAGCCATACAAAAAGAGATGGAGCAGCTGGCCAAGGAGCTGAGGCAAAAGAGAATGGCCCTGGGGTACTCACAGGCGGATGTGGGGTTCGGTGTGGGAGCTATGTTTGGGAAGGTGCTTAGTCAGACGACCATATGCCGCTTCGAGGCTCAGCAGCTCAGCCTCGCGAACATGTGGAAGCTGCGACCCCTGCTGAAAATGTGGCTGGAGGAAGTGGATGAGAAGAACCTTCTGGGCATTTGCAGAATGGAGATGATTCTGCAGCAGGCCCGGAAGCTGAGACGCGCAAGCAGGGAGAGACGCATCGGAAACAATCTGGAAAACCTCTTCCTGCATAGTCCAGAGCCTATGCCCCAGCAAATCAGCTGTATTGCTGAACGCCTCCAGCTGCAGAAGGACCTGGTTCGAGTTTGGTTTTCTAACCGGAGCCAGATGAGCAGCTGGCCAACCAATGGTGTCTCCCTGAGGGAGAATGTGGCAGTAGCCGGGCCCTTTCCAGGGCCTCCAGTGTGCTTTCCTCTGGCCCCAGGGCTCCATTTGGATTTCCCTCACTATGGGGGAACCTGTCTTACACCCCTGTGCTCCCCTACCCCATTTCCTGTGAGAGGAGCTCTCCTGTCTACCCCGGCCACCACTCTAGGCCTCCCCAGGCTTTCAAGCTGAGAGGCCTGCCCTGCCAGGGGGAGATTAGAGAATAGAGGGGAGGGTGTCACTTTAGGGTTTTAGTCTTTACTTCTCTCTGCTGCCTAAAGAAGTTAAATATTCTTAATGGATGAGGGTGGGAGTTATTTATGAAAAATTGAGAGGGAAGTTAAAGCTTATTACTTTTTGGTTTTCTCTTTATTTTTCCCTAGTGTTGATTTTTAATGTATTTTACAATATATTCATGCTTTGACATTTTGTTTCTCTCTTTTTATTATTAATTAAAAGTATGTCCATTGTTCCCTGTGGTCATCAGGAAACATAAAGAGTTTAATTCTTTCTTTATAAATACGATATTAAATTAAAGACAAGTCACAGAAAATCTATATACCAATTCTTATTTGGAAAAACAAACAAGCAGAACCTTGCACAAACACAAAATCCAGGTTAACAGTTACACCTTGGGGAGGCTTAGGAATAGGACAGGAAAGAAGTACACAGAGTCCTGGCAAGCTCATGTGCTTTATCAAACTTCCCTTTTTCTAATTCCCCTGTTTTTCACTTCCAGCCAGCCAATATGTGAGGGGTTCAGTTCAGCTCTCCATCTTAAGCAGTCCCCTGTGTTTCTCCCCTACCCTGCCCCTGGAGTCACTACCCTCAGTCTGTTACTGTGGTAGGCAAGCTGAGCAGTTCAACTTCAGACCCAATTCTAGCTTAATTCTCTAGTTTTTGGTTTTATTTGGGTTGTTCCTTGGAAATACCCTTTACTTAGTTTGGAGCTGAGATATGTTTTTGAGATCATGTTTATAATAGTTTACTGGTGGATTAAAGTGCAAAGGTCAGGATGTTACTCCTCCTCTCCCTGCCTTCCACACTTGACTCCACAAAGCCAGTTCCCACACAGACACCTGAATCCCATTTCCTTCCCAAAAACTGATTTTTTCATTTTCCATTTATATGTTTGAGGTTAGAGTTACAAAGTAACTCAGTGATAGAGAAGCACAGACCCTGGGTTTGAGCCCCAGCATCAAAAAACTTAAACATCTCTTTGCCTTTAGATCTGCTGTTGCATGCCTGCATGTATTGTGTATTATAACTCCATCACTGTGTCACATCTGTTTAATGCTTTGTTTATTCATCAGTTTTTGCTTTTCTGTTAATTTTTTTTCCTTACCAGTACTGAAAAGTATTTATGTTTAGGTATTTTAAAAGATTGAGCCCTTATACTTTTACTTTGAACTCTCTTATCCTCAATTTTGGCTTTTATTTTTATTAAAAACCTTTTCCTGGTATCTTCTGAATCAGTATTCCTTTTTTTTTTTTTTTCTGTCTTTTTGAGACAGGGTCTCCCTGTAGCACCAGCTGTCCTGAAACTCACAGAGATCTGCCTGCCTCTGCCTCCCTTGCTGGAATTAAAGTCGTGTGCCACCACACCCAGCTTCCAGTATTCTTTTACTAATCTGTTTTTTAAATGAATACCTTGTTTACTTGATGTTTTGTTCTGTTTTCTGATGCCTGTGTGGAATCAACAGTGAAAGTCAGTGAATACCCCATCTTGACCTCATACCTCAGGTATGTGACTGGATTTATCATCACACAAGTCAGATGTAACTAATGCCTCCATTTATTATTATCCTCCTTTGACTTGTGTGCCTGATAAAAGTTGCCACTGTAGCCATTTTAAAGTATAAATTCGGTTTGCACAGCTAAATTAAATTCATAATATGCAACCATGCTGCTATCCATTTTCAATAATTTATCATCATTCCAAAACATAAACTCTGTACCCATTGAGTACTAACCCCTTTCCTCCTAGCCCTAGCCCATCTGGTCCGTGTCTCTATGAATTTGTGTACTCTAGACATTTATATTAGTGGACTCAAATAATAAATGTTCCTTTGTGTCTGGTGTATTTCACCTGGTGTGTCACAAGCACTAAGGGTTCATATGTGCAACTGCCCTGTTGTGTCCAGACAACACAATTTCATTGTATTCACCCACTATCTCTGGCTCTTACAGTTTTTCTCCCCTTTCTTCCACAATGATCCCCGAGCCTTGGAAGAAAAAGATGTGATGTAGTTAGCCCATTTAAGACTAAAGATTCTGCCCTACCATCATAGTCTCTGCACCTTGACCAGGTGTAGGTCTCTGTAATAATTACCTCCTGCCAAAAGAGACTTCTCTGATGAAGATTGTGAGATGCACTAATCTATGGGTATATTAAGTCAGGAGTCAGTTTAATACTATGTCCATTTAGCAGACTAATAGTAGTAAGTTCTCCCCTAGGGCCTACCACCTGTCTAGCCACAGGTTCTTTGCCCTGGTAATGGTACTAGATAGGGGTTTCATCTTGTGGAGTGGGCCTTAATCTAATCAGAAGGTGTTTTTTTACTTCCATGACATTCTTGCCACTAGTGCACCAGTGGGCATGTCTTGCCAGGCCAGTGGTTATTGTAGTTTACAGGATTCGCAGCTGAATAAAGATGATTACTTTTCTCCTCTGGTAGCATGGCATTTTATCATATTAGGTACTTTTGTAAATAGAATTGTTTTCATAATTTCCTTTTCAGATTGTTCACTGTCAGTAAATTGAACTGCAACTCATTGTTCTGTGTTCACTTCTAATTCTGTAGCTTTATTGATTTATTTCTAATAGGATTTTGGTGACTTCTTAGGGTTTCATAAACATAAGATCATTTCATATCTAAATAGAAATACATCTTTTAAAATTTTTATCCCTTTAGTTTTCTTGTGTTGTTTCTCTGGCACAAATGTTTGGCACTGTGTTATGTAAAGGGGACAAAAACAGACCCTTGCCTTTTTACTGAGTCTAGGAAAATACTTCTGTTTTTTAACTATTCAGTACCATGTTGTGGGTTTTTCACATACTGCCTTTATCATGAAATTCCCTTTTACTCCTGGGTTATTGAATTTTAAAGTATACTCACGTTTAACCATTTTCTCTGGATAAATGAGCTGTTTGAGGAATGTATGATCTTCGTTGGGTATTTCATAGGATCACAATAACAGTGCCATGCTTTCTCCATTGCACCCATGACTGGGGAGCCTAGTCACTTTGAACATACACTCCTTATTCTGATGACATTTCTGTGAGAATCAGTGACCCATCCATCACTAAGTGGTAGAATCAAGTCTTGAATGTGATTCTCCCAAACCCCACAGCACAGAGCAGCTCAAGATGTAGCCCATGAACTCTTGGTAAAGTGCTTCAAAGACTTTAAAAATTCAAGTAAATTATCATGTGGTACTTAGAAATCTTCTAATCCTTTGAAAGTTACCTAATCAGAAAACAAGTTGTGACAAATTTAATTCTCAAAGTATTGTTATCATCTGCATTGTTGCAGGTAGACAGTGGATACTAAATTACACGCGCACATGAGTTTAGACCGGGTCCCCATTTTATTGGGAATGTCATGGCCACAAAGTAGGTACAAATGAACCATATCTCAGTGTATCTTCCCATGGTCCAGTGTCCCTAATGACAGTGCCCAAATTAGTGCCCCACTTACACGGACAAGATTCATTTCCATACAACAAGCATTTTTATCCCTGGAGTTTATATTACTTATTCATTACTGTCACCATTTAGGAAAAGGTTTAAGTTGGACCCTGTGACATACAGTGATAGTCCTAGCTTCTTTGGAGGCTGAATCAAGAGAATCGGGTGAATTGAAGACTTAAAGGTCAGCATAGGAGCACAGGAAAAATGTGACTCTAAAGAATAAAAGTAAGTAAATATGTTTAGAAAAATTAATCTCTTCTGATTCTTGAACAGACTCAATGACAGTGAGTTCACAATTTCATGTAGGAGTTAAAACCCTGAGTTAGTGCCGATGTCTCTGCCTCTAGCTTCCCAGCAGCCCAGAGAGCTCATTTTTCTTCACACAAGCTACAGGAATCCAGCATGACAGCTGTATACTTTCTCTACTTATCATTGTCTGATGATAGAATACTCAGTATGCCCATAGGTTTGTGTAAGTTGAGACAAAACCTCAGGTACTCCTAATTAAATTCAATAGTTGATTAAATACTATTAAATAATCATACTAAAAGTCACATGGCACTGACCTTATTCCTTCCTTTTCTTAGACGGCCCTCTGAAAAGCTTTGGAAGGGAGATTTTTCTACAGAATTTCAGGTGCTGTTAGAACCAGAATGAACTACTGTTTGTGTCATAAGCATTTGGCTCCTGAAAGGTGTAAGGATACACTGATCCAGGCTGCTCCTGCAAATCTTCTGTAACCTCTGTATATTTGAAGAAATTATTGTGGGCTTTCAGTGTCAGGAGACAGCACCACAAATCTAACTAACCATGGCCTGTATCCTTCACACACCTACTCTGCCTCTACTTAGGCCGGTACTGATATGTCACTAATCAGCCTTTGCATAATTTGAGATGAGAATTTCCACCACTTGCTATGAACAGAGGAAAGACTGGACCTTAGGAAAATCATTATAATGAAGTGATTTCAGATTTTTGAGAAATGTAAGATACATATAAAGAAGGCTTAGCAATGATCATAGAACCAACCACCTTTAGAGTTGGGAGAAAACTAAGAATGTGATGTGAAGTAGTTGATAGTGTTAAATGCTACAAAGGTCAAATAATCTGAAAAGTTAAGCATGTATGTGTGTTAAATACTATACTCTCCCCCCATCTCAATATCAAAGATATCATTTATACCTTTAGTGAGAACCATTTCAGTGGAGAAGTTAGTAGAGACAAATGTAAACTACAGCCCAAACTCTTCTTATTTGACAGATTTCCCCCACCTCAATTTAAGATGTAATTTCCAAATACTTGTGATCATTCTGAAAATGTTTGTCAAATGTTTCTTCTAGACAAAGCAAGTGTTCTTAACCTAAAGACTTTGAACATCTTTAATATATAAGCACACTATATTTTTATGCATGTATGTTTTCTTTAAAGGTGGTTGATAGCCTCATCAAATTTTCAAAGGGAATCATGACTCTTTTGAGATCTACAATTTCAAAACATA